ATATAGTTTTCATTCTAATGTTTTCCCAGAGATTCAATTATCTGCTCTGGTACGATTCTCAGGTCGTCCCATGTGGTTTCATCACTCTGCATTTACTCATCTTTCATCACACTCTCATATTCTGATCCAGCGTTTGGCATTACATGGATACTGTCTGGGGAGTTTCTTCAAATTTTAAGTTTTGTGTGGTAAAATCAAACACACACCCATATTTTTCTATGTAAAGTTGTCATGGCAACTTTATAAACCACACATTTACTCTGCACCCAAATCTTTTCTGTTTCTCGTTTTCTCCTCTCACGACAGTTTAGTACCTAAACTTTGCCGTCGAGCTCGTCCACCCTCTCTCTCGGTGTGGCTGCCATGCAGCTGAGCGCTGAGCTGGGAAGTCTCCATCTGTGCCCTCTGAAGCACCGTCCTCTCGCTCCTCGTCCTCAGCAGCTCACTGCGCATGCCTTCCACCTAGAATCATGAGACACATCGAACTCTCTCACAGCACCGAGGCCTCCTGTCAAGTCTCTTTCACAGCTTACGGTTTTCTGTCTCATGATGTTTCCTGCGCATCTGCGTTTATAATCGGGTGGACGAGCGCAAACCGACCTGTTGAACGAGGGACTCCCTGCTGTCCTCGGACTGTTCCAGTAACCTCCTGGCCTTTTCGAGCTCCTGCTCTGCCTGAGGGTTGCACAACAAAACCAGTCAGAACAATACGCACGTGTTGCACAATCTAAAATGTTCAGAACTACATTAAATTAAAATATTCTTATGAACACATGATCATGGGAAACAGGAAGTCCACCTTCTTTCAGTTGTAGGGTTTTATGTATCAGATTATAAAAATCATCTGTTCTTCGTCAGGTTCTAATAAATGATTTTAAATCTAACCTTAAATGTCAAATAAACAGAATAGATTCAATAATGTCATTATTTATTAAATTTAAAAAAATGCCACAATGCTTCAAAAAGGTTTAAGAAGGACATCAGCAGCCTACAGATCAAATGTATTGATTACCTGAGCACCAGTGACAGCAGGAGTTATGGTACCTTGCTGTCTTGGAGCATACAGTATGGATGAGTGTTACCACAATGCCAAGCAGAAAGGACATCAGCAATGACTCGAGAGCAGCAGCTGGTGCTGCTAATCAATGTAGAGGTTAAAGGTAATCTCCAAACCTTTCTGAAGTTCATGTCAGGGGAATTTAGCTAAAGGTTTATGGATGTTTCTCACTGCTAATGTTAAATTAATGTTGAATCATGTGTGTGAGCTCAGAGGAGCCTGCAGACACCTGACTCCTCCGAGTCTAAGAGGGCGAGGTCATCGTGCTGATAAGCATTATAAAAACACTTCCTGCACACTGTCTAGTGCAGATGTTCGCGACCGGGGCTTCAATGAAACATCTGTGTAAGCCTGGTGAACTCTGCCCTTGCAGGTAAACTGGGTGAAAAAATCTTCTCCTGTCTTTGTGTGTGACTCTTTTAAAAGAAAAACAGATAATGAAAGGATATTTTTTTCCAACCGTTCATTCAATTAATAGATTTTCACAAGAGAAAATGTTTGTCAGCTGCCAACTTTTACAGCATGTCTTAGGTTTGACGTGTTTACCCCAGATAACTTGCCATGGCAGGGCACTCATCTCACCCGTGACTTTTGTCGAGAGGGGCGGACACACACACATCAGATTTGAGCTGCGTGCTGTTTGTACCGGCAGTTTTCGAGCGAGTGGGGGGTTCAGCGTGAGGGAATAGGCAGCGCTAGCACCGCCTTTACATTTTTAGCTAGCGCACCTGTATTGTGCGCCGCTAGCTTAGTGTTACGTCAATAGTGGGGGGGTGCACGCAGTTCGGTTGACGGGGTGCTCGGTTCTGCTGGTGGGGCTGGACAACCCGCTTGTATAATGATAGGGGGAACACTGGGTTTGTAAAGTTGTATCTCAACATACTATAGGACTTCTGGATGGATATGCTTTGAACAGATCAGACCAGCTGTTGGTGGAGGAGAGCTGACAGTTTGGGTTTGATCTGCAGCCACAGGACTTGGGCACCTTGCAGCCATCAAGTCAACCACGATCTCCTCTGTACCTCAAAATATTCCAGAGTAAAATGTGAGACCATCTGCCTAACAGCTGAAGCTTGGACCAAACTGGGTCATGATGAAGCTCGGGGAACCAAGAGGTTAGCCAAGTCTGGGTGGACGTACCTGATGGCATCTGCAGCCAGTTTGTTAGGACCCACTGTGGGATGGATCTTTACAAGAGATCCTTCCTGTCTACAGCCATCAGCATCTATAACATCTCTTAATGAAATGAGGATAACGAGTTACTACAACAAACAATTTCCCTCTGGGATTAATAAAAGTATTTTTGAATTGAATTGAATTGAATTGATGCAACAGAACAATCCCAAACACATGAGCAAATAAGTCCAGACCTCAGCCTGATTGAACTGTTGTGATGGGACCTTAAGAGAGCTGCACAGAAGCATGTCTGAAAACCCAAATGACCCGATGTTGTATGAGGGTCTGCCAGCAGCTGGACCAGAAGGTGGACTTCATTTTTCACAGTTTTTCCATTTAGGCTTCAGTTTTGTTTAAGAAAGAATAACACGCTGGAACTTGTGCTTTTTTTGTACATTTGAGGTTATATTTAAATAATTTTAATCAGATCATTTTATTATTTCCTGTTGTGTAAAACTCTCACATTAAAAGAGGGCGGGGCTTTCCTTTGTCCCATGACCGTCTGAACACAGAACAATGTTGCAGCACAGCAACCAGAAGTGAACCTCTTTAAGTTATGAATTGATTGTAAAATATCATCTTCTGTGTGTTTTTTTTAACAAAACTGTTTTAAGGCTAGGTATAAAAATAATATCGGGGGAGGAGATTTTGTTGTCGTTTGTTTTCACCTTGGATTTGTCCATCTCTGCTCGACGTAGTCTGACTGTCATGGCGTCTTCTCTCTCCTGAGGATGAACTTGGCGCCTCTCTAAATTCTACAAAACAACAAACAAACAGATAAAGATCACATCAGAATACTGTAAGAAAGGAAGTGCTGCTGCATCAGTCTCTCCTTCTAAAGCCCCCACCCACCTCCATTCATATTTTCTTGGAACAAGATGCAGGCATCACGGTGGATTTGTACAAGAGCTTAGATCCCACTCAATCCAAAGCATTCTTAGCAGGCCGTGGTGATGAATTAGTGGCTGCTCGCAACAACAGCTCAAGTGACTCATCATCTGTTTGATTCACGTCGCAGCGGGCCCATCAGAGGGGAATAAATGTGCCCTCTGCTCTCCCTCCTTTCCTGCTCTTTAGTTGTATGAGAAATTATTTTCCTCTTCATTTCCTCTCCGTTGTCTATTTACCCTTGATTTTTGGACAAACGCATTATTTCCCACCAGCCCCCTGTCCCTGCTGGTGTCCCATTAGGACACAATGTTGAAGAGGAATGCAAATGGATCAGAAGCTGCTCTCATTACGCAGCAAGTTCACAGATCTGCCTCACAAAGTTTATTAGCCTGCACGCAGCTCCACAGCGCCCCTCCGTGGCTCACTGAAAAACTGCAGCATGCCGTGGAAAAAAGGAAAACTAAAAACAAGTAATTGGGGCTATTATCTTTTAAAACGATTAAAAACATATATGTTGATATCTTCCATAACACAATTTAAAATTGTTACATAAACATCTAGGTATGAGTTTAAATCACTCCATTCCAGGGATCCTGTGGGTCCTTGTTCACACGTTGAGGCTCTCTCATCTCATTTTAACTCAGCTTGTCAAAATGTTTTAGACGCTGCAGCTCCATTAAAATGAAGACCTTCCACACCCAAACCTGAGCCCCGGACTGATGATGCCACACAAACTACCAGGCGTCAGTTCAGGAGAGCAGAGCGAAAATGGGAGAAGGGCAAGTTACAGGTGTCTTTCCAAGAACTGAGGGACAGCTGGCGTTAGGCCTGTCACGATAATAAATTTTACTGGGCGATTAATTGCCTCAGAAATTATTGCGATAAACAATAATATCGTTTGAAATTTGACAATAATTAGTACCGGTAATTATTGTCAAATTTAAGAAGAAATGTTGGTTAATTTTTGTGTGTAGTATCTTTGTTTGACCACCGGATGGCAGTAAAAGACTGTCTGAACCGAAGGATGGATCATGAGGGAGCAGCAGCTTGTCTCTTTAAGAAAAATGGGAGGGAGGCCCCTTGACGTGACATGGGCCATCTCTCGTTTCTGTTTTCGATTCTCAAAATGGCGGATGCTCGGTGTGGTTTGAGCTCTTTAGCGTAGCATTTTTCCACACAAACTTTTAATAAAAAAAAATCAGTAAACAAGTTCTCAGCTCCTTTTTGCAGATAAAAACTTTTTACACAAAGCCACGAGTTTCAACTGTGAATTTTGGAGCTTCGACAAGACGGAGGTCATTTCCCCGAGGTCGGCCTGTTAGCTTAACTCATAGCTTAGCTTCTCAGCTTAGCTGCTTTTAACCAGCAAAAAAATGTGATTTTGGACGGTTAAAATGGATTTTACAGCGAAAAGAGAAAGGAAGGGGTCAGTGAAGAGCACCAGAGTTGAGCCTTTTGTCATCCAGTGTCTTCAGTAGAAAGAGAGAGACACGAAGAAACGATAAAGTTGATAAATGAAAATGAGGTAGATAATTTTCATTTATCATGCAATTAATTGATTTATTGTTTGTCGCGACAGGCCTGGCTGGCATTTCTATCAGTCCACTGAGAGAGCTGCAAAAAACAAATATTCATCTGACATCATTTCCTCCAACTCTAATAATCCACGTGCGCTTTTTAAAACCATCAGCTCTGTTCTTAATGGCCCACAGTCAGCCAGCCCGGAGAACTCCACTGAAGTGTGAGAACTTCCTGAGCTTTTTTTATCTACAAGGTTGTAAACTTCTTATGACCCCCTCCAACTCTGTCACACACTCTGCTGTTTTCAGTCAGTTTGAGCTCATCACCCTGTTTTTTTTTTTTTTAAAGACATCACTGGTTATATGAAGTCTGCTGGATTTCCAAACGATCCCATCCCACCTCGTCTTTTTAAAGAGGTTTTCCACATGGTGGCTCCTTCTGTGTCCCAAATTATAAATAGTAGTTTGTCAAATGGACAGGCTGGACAATGATTTTAAACTAGATGCACAGATTAAATCAGTGATCAAGTCCAGCTTTTATCACCTGAGACAACTGGCCATGGTCAAACCATTTCTCTTACAACACAATTTTGAGATTTTAATCCAATCATCACAACTCGTCACTCAGAACTAGTGTAATTCACTTCATGTGGTTCTGAGCCAGTCATGACTTCAGCTGGTTCAGAATGCTGCTGCATTTTTACATCAAATTCTCTGTTTTTAAATCTTCCCTGAAAACACATTGTTTTGTGTTTTAGGGGGATTGTTCATTGGCTTTTAACTCAGCTTGAAATGTTGGTTTTAATGTTTTTAAGTTATTTGTTTTATTGTTTTTACTGTTTGCTGTTTTATGACTTTGGAAGTTCATTACTTTTATGGTATCTGTTGATTTTATGTTTTTTTTTGCTTGTATGTGTTAGTGTACAGCACTTTGGCCAGTGGTGTTGTTTTTAATAAAGTTGTATTGTATAAAGTGAATGTAAAAGAAATCTCTGAGCTCAAAGTGTTTCCAACTATTCACATTACCATTACCTTTCCTTTTTTCCTTTGCCTTTTGCCTAGTTTTATTATTATTTTTTTTTATTATTCTCTTTATTCTAGTGGAGTCTTGGGAAAGGAACTGTACTTTGTTGCAGAGATTACAAACCTCCTTCAGTCAAAAAAGTTATCCTAAAACAAAACACAATTTAAACTGATTAGATGTGATTTGTTTCTTTGTCCCTCTCTGTGGTGTTTCTGTAAAACCCAAGCACATTATTGTGTGAAACAGTGGTTCTCAAAGTGGAGGTCACATCCCATTGTGGGTCATGAATCATCAAGTGAGGGGGGAAACTAAACAGCATGTTTTCAGCACCGTTGTTGCCCTTTTGCTTAAAGGCTCGGGCAATATTGTTTTGCCTGATTGTCTGTCGTGCTAGCAAAGCCTCTCATGAGCCACTGGAAAATTCTGAAAGTAATCACTGGGTGTTCATCAACAATGGATTAAATTTTGAAGTCAAATTATTTCAAGATGTCCAGCAGAGCTAATTAACTTAATTAATTTAACTCTTGTAAATGAGTCCTCAAGACTCAATGAGACTAACCTGTATATATAAATGTTACCGGGTTGTTAAACATCTATGTTTACCTACATATAAGCACTTGATTACCTACATATAAGCAGAAGTAAGGAGTACCTTCAGGAGGATTAATCCACACAAAGCAACTGGCCCAGACAACATCCCCGGAAAAGTGTTGAAGGAATGTGCTGATCAGCTCTGTGAGGTTCTGGCAGACATCTTTAACACCTCACTTACCCTGGAGACAGTTCCCACCTGCCTGAAGACTGCCACCATCATCCCAGTCCCAAAAAGCTCTACAGTGACTGGTCTGAATGACTATCGGCCAGTGGCCCTCACCCCGATAGTCGCAAAATGCTTTGAAAAACTGGTCATGACTCGCATCAAAACAACCATCAACATCAACGAGGACACTCATCAGTATGCATACCGTGAGAACCGATCAACAGAGGATGCAATCTCCTCTGTGGTCCACACTGCGCTCAACCACCTGGAGCAGAAAAACTCTTACGTCCGTATGCTCTTTGTGGACTTCACATCCGCCTTCAACACCATGATCCCCCAAACCCTGATGGACAAACTATCCACACTAGGACTAAGCCCCTCCATCTGCAACTGGGTACTAGACTTTTTAACAAACAGACCACAGTTAGTGAGGATCCACAACCTCTCCTCCTCTACCATAACCCTCAGCACTGGCTCTCCTCAGGGATGTGTGTTGAGTCCCCTCCTGTTTACTCTGCTCACGTATGATTGTGCAGCTACCCATCCAGGCTGTCACATTGTAAAGTTTGCAGATGATACAGCGGTGGTGGGATGCATCACAAACAATGAGGAGTCCAGCTACAGGCAAGAGGTGGAACACCTGGAGAGCTGGTGCAAAGAGAATAACCTTCACATCAATGTGAAGAAGACAAAGGAGATGATTGTGGACTTCAGAAGGAACAAAAACATCTACACCCCCCTGAACAAAAGAGGATCTGCGGTGGAAGTGGTCTCCAGCTACAAGTACTTGGGTGTACACATGAATGACAACCTCAGCTGGAGCAACAACATCACCAGCCTGATCAAGAAAGCTCATCAGAGACTCTACTTCCTCAGACGGCTGAGGCGAGCTGGTCTGGGAAGCTCAGTCCTCACCTCCTTCTACAGGTGTGCAGTGGAGAGCATCTTGTGCTCGAGCATCAACGTGTGGCATGGAGGCTGCACAGCTGCAGAAAGAAAAGCTTTGCAGAGAGTGGTGAAGGCTGCACAGAAGTCTGTCGGAATCAGCCTCCCCACCATCACAGACATCTACACCTCCAGATGCAGGAAGAGGGCCACCTGCATCATGAAGGACCCCACTCACCCAGCACACACACTTTTTGCCCCACTCCCCTCAGGAAGGAGGTTAAGGAGCATTAAGTGTAGAACCACTAGACTGAGGAACAGCTTCTACCCTGAGGCTGTTAGACTCATGAATCTCTAACTAGAATAATCACTGTGAAAAACCACATCATGTTGCTGCTGATCTGTTTCATGTTGCTGCTGATCTGTTTCAATGTTGATGTGTTCATGCGTGCACATCTGCTCACAGACTCATGTTCATGTTTGTGCTGATGTTCAATGTTTTTATGTTATGAGTGCTTAGTGTATATTTAGTTGATGTTTTTCTTAGTTCATATCTTAGATGTTATTACTGTTTTTCTTATACATTTTATTGTTGGATGTAACTGGGACCATGTGTACATAATTTCGCTCCACCACATGTACCACATGAGGTGCGAATGACAATAAAGAAACTCT